TAATAATCACCATGTAGCTTTACGAATATCAATTCTGTAAGTATTCAGTGAATGTTGAGTGATACAAGCAATGAAGGAGAGCCTTGATATTATGCTCACCATAAACTATTGACTGAATATGAAACCTTCGATATCCACTTATATTAATTATAACTGATCAATACCTCTTCCCTGTTCTTGCATTTTTTACTCAGAACCTTTCTTTTAAAGCACAAAGCAGATAAGATTTTTAGGGTTTTCTGCTTGCTTTGTTTTGTTTTTTTAAGGAAAGTCTTCTCTGGGTGTTTGCTTCAATTTTTTGAACTCCTTGACACAGCCTGCTGGAGGACAATAAACATCCTCACCTTGTGTCAATGAATGTTTTCCTCTGGAGGAAAAAGAAAATTTTGTAAATCCACATGAATCCCTAATATTGTATCTTTTGGTTTAAAGAAACTTCTAGAGCATTCCAGGTCATAAAACCGGGCAAATAATCTTCTAGAATAAAACCCCTGAGATGAGTTTGGTATGAAATAAAAGGGGTTGATAATGGGCCAGAATCTTCCCAATAAACTGCCCTATGTGTAAATGGAGATTAGATTCCTGTTTGACCTGCTTTATTGCCCTTGTTTTAATCACAGTGTATTTGTAATCACTGTGCTTTTGTATTTTTAAATGAACTCATTTTCATAGTAGCTCTGCTCATGAGATTAAAGAATTGCTAACTAATCGTTCCAAATAAGCAGAGTAATTCTCTCTGGCTCTGCCTAGGGCTCCCTGCAGTGGTGCCCACTGCCTGGTCTTCCATCATGGAAACGTCAAGCCTGACCCCTGCAGGTGAATAACTGAAATGCACACCTCCAATCAAATCTGCTCTTTCTTTTAACATCCCATCAAGTTCTGAAAATAAGAACACCCACACTAAGCACAATAAGGATATTGATGAACATTGATATATGTTGGACATTCCTTTCAGAAGTTTGCTTTTGGAAAGTAGCAACCACTTGATTAAAAAAATTTAAATTACATCTGCAAAATACTCTGATGTGGTCAGCCATTAATTCTTTTTGCCTATTAGAAAAATACAAACGATTTAGATGAACTGGAATCCTCAAATCATGTGGGTTTAAAATATCCTGATTTGGCCCCATCTTTTTCTAATCAAACAGATTGCTCTTTGTCCAGTGACCAAATCCCCCCCTTTCACCAATGCACAGCCCAGGTTGCCATAGCTACCTTGGATGTCTATTTACCACACAAGGGATCAAAGCCAGGAGACATCCACATACACACTTAGCCTTAAAACTTGCTGGAATGTCTGAGGATAACATACAACTACCAATTAAGGGATTTGCTTGTAGCCCATGTGGTCCATAGCCAAGCAATCTACAAGCACAAGTCACAGCAAATGGCAAGGCAAAGCCAAATTGAAAAAAAATTATTTAAAAAAAAAAACAATAAAGGCCTGTCTTTAAATTGACAGTGGGTCCTACAATGATAACATTTTCTGAAAGAGAGATAGCAGGGAAGAAATTAAAATTTCAGCATATGTTGAAGACATTGAGCTCTCTAAACCATGTGCAAAAACTTAAAACATCTGCTGAAAGGGAATGTTTCTCTGATGCATATTTAAAATTCTGGTTAGAGTATCTTCCTATTAGATGTCATAAAAGTGGACTGATCTCAGTGTTGGGACAAATGAGAACAGAAAGGCCTTTTGAACATTTAAAGGCCTGACTTTCAAATGAAGGAAACCACACAACACATTTGGGACACTACATGCTGATTACAGAATGATAAGAAAATGGATGTTACAGGAGAGGTTCTGTGTGTGTTCCTAGAATGCATTTTCAGATCCCAAACCTACACAGGTAATCTTTCTGGGTAGGTGAATATTTTCCGCAGACACTTGCTGTGTCTCTTTATACTTAACCTTTCTGTGCCTTTGCCTCACCATTTGTTCAATGAGGATCAAATTGCCCTTCATTTTCTCCTGGGGATGTGACAGAGAATAAATAGATCATGTTTGTAAAGGGCTTTCTAATCCTCCAAGGAAAGATTAATACGAAGACTTTCATTATTAAGCCAGATGTCCTTGGGCATTTTAATTCCAATCTAAAGAATGCAAAAGGGGCTAATAAAACGGAGTCACAGCCTCCTTGGAACAGCAGCATCCTAGTCTTGCAAGAATTTAGCAGCTATGTGACTCATTTCAGTGGATCAGAAATATAGCCTACACCTCTCAGAGTTTTCTCTGAAGTTTTCAGGGTTCTAAAAGCACAAAATATGTCTAGTAGACAATTTTTTAAAAAATAATTTTAGTTGTCAATGGACCTTTATTTATTTATATGTGGTGCTGAGAATTGAACCCAGTGCCTCACACATGCTAGGCAACTGAGCCACCACGGAGCCACAACCTCAGCCCTCTGGTAGACAATTTTGTCATGAGAAATCTGATTCTTTCTCCCAGCTTGATAATGAAGTATTTGTCCCTCCCCTGTGTAGGGACAATAGGTAGCTCACTACTTGGGGAAGATATTTGCAGTTGTGGGAATGCCATACGTAAACCTGTTGTTTTTGGCCGGGCTTCCAGAACAGGTGGCCATGCCTTTCCTTTTGCCTGGGAACATAGCAAATTCCTTCTCAAGGAAGGTTCAGGAAAATTTCCCATTTACAATTAGAGTGCAGAGAAAGGTTGGCACATGCTTTAAAATTAGGAAGTCATACTTTTTTTGCCCTAACTCAGTGTGGCCTTACCAACCCTCAAAGAATTCTATCCTACAGGGTTCCTTTTCTGCCAACCTGGCAGAATCCCAAACCCCTTTGAACCTTATAACTAGCCAGACAGCTTTCTAACTCATTTGGCAATTTCTGGCTACCTTGGATTTCTGGCTAGTCAGTGGCAGGGGTCTCTTCTGGGCTGCCACACCACTGTTCAGCATTTGTGCAGCCCTAGGGACAGATCACTCATCAACAAAAAGATTGAATTTCATTGCTGAGCTGATGACACATGGGTCGGTTTGAAAGTTAACCCTGCAAATCCAGCTGGGGTTGCTGGGCTGGGATGACAAATTGACTGGTGGGTGCGATTCACCCTGCCTGGATGTAGCAGTCAAGTTTTCCCCACATGAAACTAGAATCAAGCTGGAATCAGCCCATGCAATAATGCCACCATCTCAGTTCCCCCTGCATTCTTTTTCTGGAACTAACTGTCTGGGTTTCTTGTATGAACAAAGATCCTCTCCCTCTCTTCTAGATCCTTACTCCATCCCATCCTCTTTTCAATACCCAATGGGCAAAAAAATTAGGTGTATAGAGATGTGGGATAAAAAGTTGTTCATTCATTAAATAAATAAGGAATTACTACATATATACTTGTATCCTTAAAACTTGAATACTGGGCTGTTTTCCAACCTCATATAAAATGCCACAGCTATTCATGGGAAAAACCATCCCAAGCTTGGGCATCAGGCAAAGGGAATGCCATCATACCAGAGGAATTGTGTGGGCACAGGGATTCTGGAAATTGAGCTCAGATACCACGGAGGAGAGGACAGGTGGCTCCACGCAGGATCAAATGACTTCTTTGTTCCGGCTTAGTCAACAATGTTTTTGCTTTCCCCTTTTTTCCTCTTTAATCCTTTCCAGTTTGCCTTCTCGCTCCTTTCCCCCAACCCATCTGATTACTAGACATTAAAAGAACGAGCCTGGATTGTGAGTTTGTTAAACTTAAAGAAAACCAGCCTCCGCCCAGTCTCTAGCAAGGCAAATGCAATTCATTGAAAGCACACGGCATTGCATGTGCTTTTCTGCACTCACTGAAACTTGCCAAGCATGCTTGCTCAAAGAGCAAACAAGGAGACAAGAGGTCTCTACCCCTGACCATACCATAGGGTCCTCTTTCACCCCCCCCCCCCCCCCAGCCGCAAAAAAGGGAAAGTTCCAAATGCTCTGTCCCATTTACAATGGAGAAGGTTCACTCCCCCCGACCCACCCCAAAGTAGGCACCAAAGTGGCAAGTACTCACCCCATTTTGGGGAAAAAAAAGTGAAGAGCTTTTCTGGTGAGAATACAGATGCTAACTTTCCCACCCAGATTTATTAGCCCTGGCCAAAGTAACATTACTCTTCCATAATCTCTGCCCTTCTCAACCTACTGGTATGGCTTTCCAGTCTTCTCTTCTCCTTATATGAGTATTGATCTTGACATTTAAATATTGACATAAGATTCTTCCATAACTTTGATGGAGTTGTAAATTACACCCTTTTCTTGGGCTTACTAATCCACTCTTTTCTTTCCTTTCCTTTCTAAACGGTAAAGCTATAAACCTCTGCCTGGGCTGATAAGGAATTTTATCATCCTGCCCCAGAGCTACGGAAGAAACTGCTGGTTTAGAATTCTTTTCAAAGGCTCCTTTAAGTAATCCCCAAGCCCTTTCTCTGCTCATTACTTTCAAGGCTGTCTATTCACGTCCAGAAGCAATACAGTTCCCAAACTGCTAGAACAGAGCAAACAAATCTGCATTTTTCTGGAAGGGTTGTGTGTACCATTCGGACTGGTTACGCCTTCTCAGCCATAAACACACTAAGTGCTCAGAACTGGGAGCTAAAATGAGATAAGCGGCCCCCTGTAATTCTTTTTCAGGATATTCAGTTGTCTGTATTCTAACCCAAAGCACACGAAAGAAGCTAAAAGCTTGAGATACATCCTGCACAATACATCTCAGCAGCCGTAAACTGGAATGTATTTACGTATTCTACAAATCGCTTTGAGTCCTTTACAATCACTGCCTGACTTCATCAACCACCATTAGAGGCAAAATTGGGGACGGGTGTGGAGGGATGGGTGGTGGGGGGCCCCCCAGGTAATCTGTTTCTTGGGTCGCCTAAGGAAAATGCATCCGTGTCTTTCCTCGGACAGGCATCTGCTAACTCCTCAAGCTCTCGGGAGTAACAGGTCGCAGGAGTCCCGCGCTGCGCCCTCCCTCTCCGGCGCCAGCCCAGCGCAGCCGCCAGCCTTACCTGCCTCATGTTTAGAATTCCATGACCCATCCGGCAGGGAGCAAGCTGCATGGAAGCCCACGCCGCAAGCCTTTAGTGCAGACACTAAAGCCAACAGAAGCCCGCGAGACAAAAGCAACTCGGTGAAATCCACAGGCAGCAAGGAGCACGTTTTCGTCCTCTTTTTCTTTGATCTGTTGCTACACGCACTCTGCCCAAGACAATGTCAAGTTTCTCAACCTTTTCTTTCCCAGCCTATGAAAAGTCGGGCGCAGAGAAGCGAGGACCGCCTGGCTCTTATTTCAAATCAGTTCTCAGGGACGTCGTAGGCGGCTGGCTTGGGCCGCGGAGGAGCCTCGCCAATCAGGAACAGGGGGTGGTCCTGGGAGCCAGTGAGGCTGCCTCCGCGAGGATTAGGGTAGCTTTCAGGAGTCAAATGACTGGAAGCAGCTGGAAACAGTGCCCAGAGCTCCCAAAGTAAAGGATGAGTTCTATTATCTAACAGTCCTGTGTCTGCTCAAAGAATAACTAGCTTCGGGCTTTAAATCCTTGCATTTTTAAGAGCTCCCTAGAAGCATTAAAACATTTGGAAAGTGCAGAATTATTTCAGCCAGGAAAGTTCAACACTCAGTACCCAAGGGTATTTTTAAAAGAGTATCTTGCACTGGATACCTACTTCTGCAAAGACATTGGAGAGGAAAACAAATTGTTATGTTAACACTTTAACTGAAACAAGCTCTCAAAGGAAGGAGCTGCTACCCACCTCATCTCCATAGAAACTGAAGATCCACTCTATGAAAAACAAATCTTAATGGGGCTGTGCACACACATATTTTGAAATACAGCAAATGAACAAGGATCTTTATCAATGAGGACCCAAGGCATAATTTCAAATAAAAATCTCAATAGAACAATAAATGCTGACTTTTCTAAACAATATTAAGGAAACTTTAATTCCATCTCTAATATGGCTGGCTGACTTGTATGTTTCTAAAAGCAACACTGACATTTTTGTTAAGAAAAAAGTTAAAAATAAGTGCATCTACCTTTCACTATGGTTTCCCTGACCTACACAAGGTTCATCTGCTGAGCTTACTAACAGAGACAAACTGGGATATCATCTCAGCAGGATGGCAGGAGAACCAACTGGCTTCTTAGAAACTTCAACCCAGACTTAAAAAGGAATTTCCAAAGTTTGCTTTCTTAACTCCTTTTAAACAGTAACTCTTTCCAACCCTTAGTATGATTTCAATGAAAATCTACCTCTTGGATTTCATGAAAGAGCAAGTTGAGCAAATACCACTTTGTATAGATCAAATAATATTTTTTTCCCAAAGTGGTGACCACAAATTTGTGAGGATAATTCAATAAATACTTTAAATTTTTTTGGTATTAGAGAAAAAGACAACTTAGTAAATAATGAGTCATTGGCTTCAGGAGTGTCTTCCACATGGGTTCAATATGTGTGAGCTTGGCCCAATTCTATGAAAATTTGCCATCCTGCTGTGTGTTCACAATCTGCCTACTGTCCACAACCCTATCCCAGCCCCAACCCCACCTGAGCACCACTTCTTTTACTTCAGAGCCCTTCACTAAGCCCAAGATCAGTGCTTGTGAACCTTGGCACTACTGACATCAGGATCAGTAATTATAGTGGAGCCACTCAATGTGCTATGGCATGTTTAGCAATATCCCTAAACTCTGCCCACTAGGTGCCAGTAGAACCTCCATGGTCAGGACAATGGATAATGTCTCCCGACTTTACCAGATATTCCCTGGGTAGCAAAATCATGCATCGAAAGGTTAATTCTTGAACTTGAGACTGCAAGGAAATTTCTAGGAAGTCTGTTAAAAATGTAAATCCTTAGGGCCCTTCTCTAAGGGAATCTGACTGGTAGGTTTGCAGAGGAGCCTGAGAAACAAATTCCTACTGCTGAAGGACTCTGATTCACTTTTAAAAGAGAGACCGCACCTATCCTGGCCCTAGGCATAACCTAGTCCCAGAACATAGGAAGCTACCAGGCCTGCTACCACTGGAGTTAGAACCCACCACACATCTATTTATTTAACAGAAGCTTCTCAGAAGTGTATGTTGTCATCACGTCAAAGGTATATATACACATATGTTAGGATTTTCTCTCTCAAGGCTGGTGCCCTTTCAAAGTTTCTGCCACTTTTCTCTCCTTTGACCCATTCTCGCATCATCCTATGATCTCAAATGTCGATATTCTTTAGTGGTTCCCCTAATGCCCCAAGAAAAAGTAATGTCTCCCTTCCTTCTATGCTCATAAAGCAGCTTCTACAACACCAGTGGTATGCAGTGTTTTAACAACCAGCTCTCAAAATAAATAAGTAAATATTTGTAGTAGTAAATAAGTAAATAAGTAAAGATTTGTAGTAGTCCTGCCAATTTCCATGGTATAAATACTCCTTCCTTCCTACAGTGAGGAGAAGGGCTGAACTTGGAGTTGGAAAGGAGATGGGAAGCACCAGCTGAGCAGACCATGATCTGTCTCTGCTGATTCATTTCCAAACTGAAATGCAATCATATATTTTTGAGTCTCTCTCCTATATTTAGTGTGAATGTCTCAATGGCAAGTATATACACAAAGGCACATCAATGTTTATAGCAGTTCAATTCATAATAACTAAGCTATGGCACCAACCTAGGTGCCCTTCAATAGATGAATTAATAATGAAAATGGAATATTACTCAGCCTTAAGGAAGAATAAAATTATGGCATTTGTAGGTAAATGGATGGAACTGGAGACTATCATGCTAAGTGAAATAAGCCAGTCCCCAAAAAACAAAGTCCAAATGGTCTCTCTGATATGGGGATGCTAACACACAATAAGCAGGGGAAGAGGGTAGAAGTTCACTGGATTAGATAAAAAGAGTGAAGGAACAGAGGGGAGATGGAAATAGGAAAGGCAGTAGAATAAATCAGACATAATTTTCCTGTGTTCATATATGAATACATAACTAGTGTAATTCCACAATATATTCAACCACAAGAATGGGATCCTAATTAGAATAAGTCATACTCTATGTATGTATGTATGTGTCAAAATACACTCTACTGTCATGTATGTCTAAAAAGAACAAATTTAAAATCAAAGAATGGTATCTTATATATCTTTGTAACCTCAGCTATTTTCACCTACCTTCATGTACAAACATTATAGAATGAAAACAAAATGTAGTGACTAGCTTTCCCCTACACATGGAGAATAATCAAAACTCTGCCACTACTACATTATGGAAGAGGAAGGAATCTTTTGGAAAATACAACTCTTACAGTTACCTTTTTACCATAACTTAGGATCTATTCTGAACTTCTGACAACAGTAAACATAATGCCTTCTCCCACCTTAACACTGCTATGTTCAAGCTATATCTAGATTGGAGTGGGGAAGAGACCATCCTCTAGCACAGAACCCCAACTTCATGGACATGTTCATGAGACAATGTATTTTTGTGGTTTTATATGAAGGTACACATACATTTGCATCTGTATACTTATACATCTTCTCAGCTACTGAGCTAGGACTTTGAGGAGGAATCTCTATAATAATCTCTGGTAGGTAAATGAAAGGGGATAAGAAGTAAGAAGTATAAGTAAGAAGTACAGCTATTGATGATGCTTACCTCCATTATTTTCTCATTATGTATTAAGACAGGAATGCTAATGGTGGTGTCTTGGCTATTATGAGCCAAGCACTGTGCCAGGCACATCACAATGTGCACCATTTAATTGCCATCCAAATACCAAAAGGTAGGAATCACCATTGGTAGGCAGGATTATTGGGGCAAAGAAAAGATACTCAAGTCTTACCTTCATGAATGGTTTTACCAAGAATCAAACCTAAGTGTATCAGATTAGAATCATTCTGATTTGTGCCTGCTGTGGTCTGAATGTTTGTCCCCTCACCCCAAATTCACATTTTGAAATCCTAGCCTGCAATGTGATGATGTTAAGAGGTGGGGGCCTTTGCAATGTGATTAGGTCATTATAACTCTGACTTCATGAATGGGTCAGTTAGAGCCCTTATAAAAGAGGCCTGAGGTTGTCTGTTTGCCCTTTCTGCCCTGTGAGGATACAGAAACAGGCACCATCTATGGAGCAGAGAGCAAGTCCTTGATCTTGGACTTCCCAGCCTCCAATATTGTGAGCAATAAATTTCTATTGTTTATACATTACCCAGTCTAAGATACTTGGTCTAATAGCCTGAACTAAGTGTTATATAATACGCTGTCTCCAGAAATGATTTGGACGACCTCTAAGAAAAGTGAATGATGGAAATAAGTGAAGTCTTCTTTTGCATTTACATATAAATATAACTTTCTAAAATGTTAAATGAAGGGCTGGGGTTGTGGCTGGTGATAGAATGCTCACCTAGCATGTGTGAGGCCTGGGTTTGATCCTTAGCACCACATAAAGATAAATAAATAAAGGTATTAAAAATGTTAAATGAAATGAATAGCCCTTTGGGGGTTTCCCATTGAGTGAGGATTTCATAATCCACTGGTAACAGTATAAGCCAGTAAAGTGAAGCAAGAAACTTGCTTCCCCCAAAGAAATGGATGTTCTGATCCCAAGTCTGTGATTAAAAGTTTGCAAATGTTAGCTAAAAGGATGTTCTAAATCTTGACAGTGCTTCCTTTAAAAAACAGCCCAGATGATAATCCTCTACAGTTTTGTGTGAGTTTGGTTATACACAGTCCTCTGCAGCAAACTGAACATAAGTTTCTGGGTGGATATTAAGAGACAGGCCCTACTTAGATACAGATGAACATTGATACACACTCCTGAAGGATAACTAACCATACCTGTGCCACTTCCTTCAATGATTTAATAGGTCAAAGCCTACAGAATGGTGAAAAATTGTTGAACTGGGCATGGTGGTGCACTTCTGTAATGCCAGTGGCTCAGGAGGCTGAGGCAGGAGGATCACAAGTTTAAAGCCGGCCTCAACAAAAGTGAGGCCCTAAGCAACTAGTGAGACCCTGCCTCTAAATAAAATACAAAATAGGGCTGAGGATGTGGCTCAGTGGTCGAGTGCCCCTGAGTTCAATCCCCAGTACCCCCCGCAAATGGTTGAATATTGTTTTTTTTTTTTTTTTTGGTTGAATATTGTTAACTTCATATAGTTTATTCTAATGTGTGTCAAGATACATCATCAAAATTCAAGAAAGTCCTTACTTCTGCAGTACACATTGAAATTGGAACAACACAGAGAAGATTAGCATGACCCCTACACAAGGATGGCATACAAATTTGTGAAGCTGGTGACACATGC